TATGGTTCAAAAATTAATTTTTTTTGCAAAATCCAGAGATAAAGTTTAAAATGTTTTTTTTTTTAAATGTCCAAAAAATTATGAAATATACATTTTTGAAAAGACCTTGATAATGCCATTTCAAATATGCAGAAGATTTTGCAAAATCATAAATAACCTAATTTGATATTAAGAAAACTAAAGATGTGCAAATTTATTTTTTCGGGTTGTATGAAAATAATTTTCAACAATTTCTTGGCAACACTTGTGCAATCCCTTTCCTTATGTCATAGGCTTTCCAAAAAGCTCAAATTTATCAAAATCTGACAACCTAAAGTTGGTTAAAACAAAGATTTTGTTTGTAACAGGAAAAAGATGTCATTCAGGCAGTGTGCCTGAGGACTCAGGCAGTTAATATAAAAGCCTGGTTTTAGAATTAAAGGGAGGGCTATGGGTAGTTTGGAAAAGTCAGAAGATTTTCAACAGCTTCAGATAAATACTTTTTGAGTAGAAAAGACTACAGGGAAAAGGTTTCAAAACAAAGTCAGCAATTAATAATTATACAAATATAGTGTTGTAATTCCTTCGATCACTTTTTGAAGCCTTAGACATGCACACTTTATAACTTTACAGCACTTGTTTTCTAGCTTCAGGTTTATAAGAAGTAAGTTGCAAAATTATCACAGGGAAAGCTTTTTTTCAACCTTTGGAGAACTGTTACGTAAAACTAACAACATTGAAGTGAATCCTGTTCATAAATCCATTAAAAATATATATATATCTACATTTAAGGGGTGAAAATTGGTTCTCAAGTAAAGAGTCACTGGACTTTAAATAAGGACCTCTAGTTTAACGTGCTGTGTTATACATGAATCGGATTCTAGGAAATCTAGGAAAAACAGATATAAATGGAAAAAATAAAAATAACACTGATGGACGGAATTCATAAAAAAAGCAAAAAGTATGTATGGATGGCCGAAATATGGATGGCCGAAATACTTCTCTTATATGCATTTCACGAGAGCAGTAGTTGAACTGACCAATGGTCAGTGACCATACATACTTCAACTACTTTTCATTAAATCTGAATATGTTTTTAAGTTGATGTAAGACTGTCTCTGTGAAAACTGTTGACAATTATTAATCTTAATGTATCGCAAGTAAATTACATCGGAATAGGTAGTCAGATGGCATCTTCTCTATATATTCTTTGCTCGTCTGTGTTAGTTTGAATCCATAAAAACGTCTGGACCGATCGAGCACAATTTTATTCATGGTAATTCATATGACCCAGCGAAGGCTTGTGAACCGTCAAATTAAATGTTTTGCTCAAAAAATTGCCAATTTTAATTATTTATGAAATGCGCCAATTTTTATAGACAAATAGCTAAATATATTAATTAAACATGACTACTTTTAAAGCAACACTTAAAGCTAAAATTGTTACAAGGGAAAAGGGTTGAATATATCTTGAATTGATTGTTCATTGGAGGAATTTACTTGAATAAGGTTAAAGATTAATTAAACATAAATTGCTTAACATGTTTTTAAATCTAATTTTTGTTATTAAATCATCAAGAAATAAGATGTTTGGTGTAAAATTCAATTATAATTGATATTTTTATGTAGAAATTATTGATTATTAGTATTATTCATTTAAAGGTTTCAATGGCCTGTTTAAAAATTTGATAAAATATTGAGATTTTTAAAAAAATCTAATTCTGTTAATTCGCAAATAACAAAAATAATTCATCCAATAAATAATTTCAATTTTTTAGTCTCTTCATCTTTGCAACCTAGACTTCATAAATGTCGTAAATCTTTGCAACTTAGACATCATAAATGTCGTAGATCTTTGCAACCTAAACATCATATATGTCGTAGATCTTTGCAATTCCTAGACATCATGAATGTCGTAGATCTTTGCAACCTAGACATCATAAATGTCGTAGATCTTTGAACCTAGACATCATAAACGTCGTAGATCTTTGCAACCTAGACATTCCACAGGTCGTAGATCTTTGCAACCTAGACATCATAAACGTCGTAGATCTTTTCAACCTAGACATCTTACACGTCGTAGATCTTTGCAACCTAGACATCATAAAACGTCGTAGATATTTGCAACCTAGACATCATACACGTCGAATATCTTTGCAACCTAGACATCATAAACGTCGTAAATCTTTGCTATTTCAAACTTTGTGTTCTATTAGGGATAATCTTAAAAGTGTTTAAAATATCAAAGGTTTACTCCATCAGGTTACAAAACTTGAAATGGACAAATTTAAGACAAATATTAGGTCGCGTTAGAACAAGAACTAGTTTCAAATTTATAAAAATTGTCTCTGCGAATTGAGTACTTGTTTTGTTGTTGAAAGAATTCAAAGTTTTTAATTGTCTTTAAAATTAATTTGGTTTAATTAATTTGCATAAATAACTTAAGTTACTTCATACTAACAATATGTTACACCATATGGTTCAAGATTATTTTACAAGGTATTACAGTGTCAAACTTTTGGGAGGGGGGGGGGCCCTTTATTTTTTGTATCTTATCCAAATACCATCCCATAGTCCCATAGGGCTGACCAATTCTACGTTTCGTTACCCGGACAACGGAACTTGAGGAACATAATAGACGTTAATATTCCATCAACGAACTGAACAAGGGGACCCGACTTTATTTATTTTGGAAAAATCAGAATCAAGACTAAGCTGTCTTTAAGACCTAAAATAAGGCGCTAGAAGAACAAGGGTTAAAGTTTTTTTTTATAATAAATCATGAATGTTTTTACAATTTTCCAAAATGTAGTTTTTCTTCTATCTTAATAAGATGACGGACAAAATATAAATTGAGATATTGATTATTCTTTTCAACGAACTGTAAACCCTTTGAATATTTATATAAAAATAGCTAAAAAGTCGACCGTCGTTGGCCGTGAAATAAAAAAATCGATAGTATCTGTTTCAAGGGTATTATTAATAATACAAAAATTGTATTACCAAAAAATGATGTGTAGATCATAGAAGATTTCGACACCATTTTTATTGGGACACCCTTTAATTCAGAAAAATACACAAAGACACCCGAAATGTACTTGCTTAGCTTGTACCTTGTAAGTAAAACCTACCTTTAAAAAAAGTTGAATTAATTTTCACTGGAAAAATAAATGAATTTCACAACGTGTTGTGCACGTAAGAAATGAAAACATCAGAACTAACTCTATTTTTATTTAAAGATTCAGAGGTTTAGTTTTTGTATAATAGCCAAATTTGATTTGATCATATGTGTCACACTTGATGAGCACGTAGACCATATGCGCGTGATAACTGCTGTGCTCAGACTGAATTGTTTAAAGTGCGCGCACAATGTGTTATTATATCTCAATCCGTAAATCTAGATTAATTCTTGCATACTCTTGGACTCCTAGACTTCAGGTGGCAGATGGTGTACCTAGGAGACTCACAACATGGTTTAAATACATAAACCCGACCTTTTAGTTTCATAATAATAAGAATTGCCTCATGGCAGTTCCCCCCTCTCCCCTCCTCTTCTTGTTTACATTTACTAAAGCGTTCTAATATTTTGATAACTAAGTAATTCATGAAGAATGAGTAATTTCCAGTCTTGGTCTAAAGGAATCTGATTGTATATCATATTTTGTTTCACACAAAATTTGTTTAGATTTCTGGATTGTACATTACAATCTTGTGCAATAGATTCAAGAATTTTACACAAAAAAACAGTTCTTAAATCATGTTTACTTAGATCTACTAAAAGTCGAATACATAGCTTATGACAATTTGATAAACTGGTCACAAATTGTACAAAACGACTTCATAAAACTGTTTTAATATGAGGAAGATTAGAAATGGGCTCAATGAAATATCTATGGGTTTCTCTTGGTGGATCAAATAAAATGTGAATAGCAATTTTCCATAAATTATGGAGTTTTTGAACTTCTTACTGTACAGATCCAAGAAATTTGAGCCATAGAAAATTAAAAATAATTAAGATGTTAGAATTACCAAATATATTTATATATTTATATATATTTATATTCTAAGTATGCTTATTACTTAAGTAGGTTTAATACAAAAGTTTAACGTAGTGAAGGAGGCTTTCCTTTAGTTATTAAGACTAATTATTTTGCTTTGATTGTGTATGTTAATAAAAACATAGAAATGTTTCAACCCAATTTTGCTAAAGCAAAATTGATTTGAGTTTGAATTTGATGGCTTAACTTGTGTGCAACTTCACACAGTTTCTGTAAATATTTTTTGGTTTTCATTTTTTGTAATCTTGGTCATTAGTACTCGAACAAAAGCTGCTTTATTATTTAACATATTTTTTGTACACATCTCCTCGAATTTGTGCATGTGGTTCTGAATTATAAGGTAATTAAAATGTTCAGCTAAACAGTGAGACCCATACCACTTGAGAATGGGAAGACGACTACTAGCCGATTTTTCAATATTTTGGAAACATGTCGATATGGGTGTTTAATGTTGCGCCACTTACAACTGAATATTCCCCAGTTATTGATCTTATTATTTTTGGAGGACTCTGGCAAATTTCAGCTTTAAAGTCCATTTTTTGCCTATAACTGTATAGTGTACAATATGTACACTGACTTGTTTCATTTAATCCACTTGTGTTGGAGGTAACATATTTACGATTTTACTGGTAAGACAGGGTATCGTAGCGTATCTAGTTTTTATGTAAAAGTAGGAGGAAATCAAATTTATCCAGGTATATATCAGAAATTCAAAATATTTTTTAAAAAGGAGTTATGATTGAAAACATATTTCAATCTTAAGTTGAATTTACTTCAGTTTAACGTGTCTTCTTCATATTTGTTCCTGTAATCTCTAGAGGAGGCTGAAGAGTGAAGAGGGGAGTGTGGTTAACGATGCATTTTCTGGAAGAAAAA